AATCTTGCATATTGCTGGGAACTTACTTTCAACTAAATACTTTTAGTAGGTGTTTATCAGTATGCCATGGACTCATAATGTGCCAATAACTATAAATACAAAACCCAATTCTCAGAGAATATAGGAGATCAAGTTTTTGTTTTGACAAAACACTAGTGGAACTACTTGGAGAATTTACTTCTTCTTTTTTTGTAATATATTTTATTGGTTTAAAAAAACATAAATCACTTAATAATTGGTGAACAGTATGTTGTCTGGGTTACATTTGTAAAACAATCACTAACAATTGATTTCTATAATCCATAATCCACAGTTTTAGTTGATTTCCTCTTTTCCCAAAATATCCTCTTTTGCAAACATTGAGTTAATACAATTCTTATTGTTTTGATAGATAACAATTTAAAATATAATTTTCCCTAATAGTCCTAAAAATAACAATCACATCAATATAATATTTCTTTTCTATCCAATCATCCTGGTTGCCTTATCATAGATCCTGTTACAGTCCTTATTTTAATTTGTTTCTCCCACCAAATTCTAGATATTCTTACTGGTTAAAATTTTCTCAAAAATTAATTATATTTAAGAATTTAACTCTATTTTTCCATATGAACCATGTCACACTTTTACATTTTTAAAAAAATAGATAAAACAGTAAAAAAAGAAAGAAAAGCAAGAGTAAAGAAGCATAAAAAAATAACATACTACTTAAAATATATATCCCTCCTAAGCTAATATGTATTTATTTCTTAAATTTCTTATTCTTTTTAATCATAATTAAAAATATGTTTAATCTTTAAACATTCCATTTAATACATCTAGTCATCTAGTCCTTTAACTCTATTCAAAACATTTTTATCCATTATAATTTTCTTAAATTCAATCACATTTAAATATCTAAAATATTTCCTTTATCTAAGTCATTTCAACTTTTTTATATTACTCATATCAAGAAAGAGAACAAAAAAGGGAAAAAAGCATACTATATTATATTTAGAGAATTCATCCCTCTTAGAGTGACGTATATATTCCAAAACTTTTCTATTTTTTTAACCATATTCAAACAAATGTTTCTTTTTTAAGTATTCTCTCTGGTAAGTCCCATCATCTATTTTCTTAGTTTCCACTTTAGTCTTTTTCTTTTGCCCAGTGTCTTTCTTAATCAATGTATTTTGCTGAATCAAAAAGTCTTTCCGTATGTTCATAAATGTTGCTGTGGATATAAAAAGTAAATCAGGAGAAGTATCTTTGTACAGGACTTCTGCCTTTCCATGTTTGTTGAAAACCTTTTTCTTTTTCTTTTTCTCTGCTTCTGTTATCATTTCCTTTCTCTCCAATGTTCCTGACATCTCTACAGTCCATTTTATCCGATCTGTTTTCTTGTCCTCAGATTTATTTTGTAGTCTTAAGGGATAAGTTGTTTTTTCTAATTTTTGTGAATTTTTTTCCGCTAGGATTAAATCATGTTTCCTTGTTTTGTTAAGTTCCATCTTTAAGTCTCTATTATCAATTCTATATCCATTTACCTGTTTTATCTGCTCCTTCTCTGTTGTTGTTTTCTGGGAATTTTTTTGTTGTAGAGTTAACTTGGAAATAGATTGATTTATATTTTCAAGGTTGCTTTGGATTTCTTTGTGGTTTAAAGTCATTGTTGTTTGAATTAGTTGCAGTATACTATATATCTCCTCCTGTGACATATTTATGTTTTCTTGATATGTTCTTTCTACATGTCTCTGATCCATGATAGCCAAGAATTTGAGTTTTCCTCTTCCTTTCTTTTCTCTGTAAATAGCTTTAGAGTCCCAATTAGGTAGATATTTGTAATCCAAATAGTTTAAAAAAAGACTTTTTTCCTGAAATTTATAATTCTCTCTTTTTCTACAGCCTAGATTATTGTCTTTTTTTGTCACAGCTGTTCTTTATTGTTAAAGCTTTGAAGGTCACAGACATAGATTAGCTTTTCCCAGATTTTGTCAAGTCTTATATTAAAGTCATAGCTGTCATAGTCTTCATCTGCCACTAGATGTCAGCAATTATTTGTTTTTCAGTTTCCAAAATGAACAATTATCTCTGAAATGAGAGTCTTAACCATTAAAACAATTTTAGATTTATCCAAGTTTAAGTTTCAAGTTTCAGGTTTTATATTTATTTTACTTCCATAAATTTTGATCCTCCATAAAAAGATTAATTCGCAGCTCCCGTTAGTATAAGGGTGGGGCAGAAATCCTCCTCCTTCCCTTTCGGAGGTATTTTGCTTCTTGGGGATCTTTTCCAGGAAATTAATTGTAAAATAGAAAAGAGAAGATCAAAGCACGCTGTTCACAGTTGTGCTGGTTAGTGCTTTTGGACTTTGGTTGCAAGTAGCTTGGGCTGGTCGATGCAATATGGCCAGCCTTTCTCCTGTCGGGTTAGAAGGCTTTCCCCAAGTCGAACAGCATGGCTGCCGCCATTCCAGAATTGCTGGAACACCCTTCTTTCTTCGTCGCCTCTCCGGGGTGACTTAGACTCATTTTGGGTCCCCTGGCAGGGCAAAATTAGCCACAGGGGTGCAGAGAATCAGCAAGCCCGCGACCGGTCGCTACTGCGCAAAAACGAAAGTCTGGAGAATTTACTTCTAAACACTACAAGAGGTAGTGAGGCAGAGAAGGCTGGAGGCCTAGACACTAAAGTAAAAATGATATGTAAGTAGTGGTTTGTTATACTCCTTTTCTCTTCAAAATATTCCACATGCTATATAGAGAGAATAAAGCAGACATCAACTATGCACATTTTTCTTTAATGGTATTATTATTCTCCTTGTGAAATGATCCTTATCTAATATGATCAAGGATAAAGTATTTCAGGTTGTATTGTGGTCTTGATGGCTAGAGTACTACCTCTAGAGCAGGGGTGTCAAAACTGCTGGCCAGCAGGCTGGATGCATCATATGGAAGCTGCATCCACCCCAGCTCCGGCAAGGGGAAAAAAGTCACGATACGCCGCGACACGTCACGTGATGCAGTGAGTTTGACCCCCCTGCTCTAGATTTACTGGTTTAAATAGCTTAAACAGCAGCTGCTATTGTTGGCCAGAAAGCTGTCTAATTACAGGAACCCAGTCTGAGGAAGCCAATGTCTATGCAGGATCAATGAAATACAAAACTCTTTTATTTCTGTACAGAAGAGGATGCCTCTGGCTTTTATACCCAAGGAGAGCACCGAAATCAGGCACAGTCATTTTTATACAATTTATTACAGGAAATAAGAGAATTGCTGATTAATTACAAAGTTACACAATAGTTACACACAAGGCAAAGCCATCCATAATACTTCGGTATTTAATTTTACTTCTTTATGATATAAATTGATTAGCTCTATGTTAATGATAAATTTTGCTTATCTCTAAGACCCTTGTCCAGACACCCCTAACTACTGCTTAAGCTAAATATCATGTCACCTTCCTTGACGCTTCAAGATATCCTAGCCAAGCATCAAAGCCACAACCTGTTAACTAGGCTATATAAGAAATGTTTGTGGTCTGCCTGTGGAGTGTTTATAGTCAAGCATTCTAGCTTTTGCCATCCCCCCCCTCCCCTCCTTAAAGAAGTGTCACTTCTATCAGGTAAAGGCTGATATGAATTAACTTTGGTTAAAGTTAATTCATAAATTACAAAATCCTCTAATTACTTATTAATAAGCTAATAAGCCACCAGACCCTCAAACTGGAGGGTTGACATAGGTATAAGTTAAAGCTAGGCTAATTTCCACTCATCTGAATCTATCGTGTTATTATATCTATGGAAGCGAGCATTGCCCTCCTGTCCACGAATCTAGCTGGCCACTAAGAGCCATAGAACGGGGGTTTAATCTTATTCAACAAAGTTATTAAGTTCTTATGTAAGAAAACATGACACCGTTAAACGTCTACAAAATAAATGAAAAAGTTTGGATCTTGGATTTTGTATTTTACACTGTCCTTACACAATTAGTCCGGTAGAAGGAGCTCTATCTTCCTTCCCTCTCAAAACAGACCTATGTATGTATGACTTGCAGGAGTCTAATTTCCGGTTCCCTTTAGGATGGAAAATATCTTCCATATGAGGGGCAAGAGAGGTAGAAATACATGAGACTTGGTGAAAGAACACTAAAAGTTTGCTATTTATATCTTTTCTAACTGTATAGTTTCTAACTTATGTAAAAAAAAAATCAGGTCTCCAACTCTTTATTAGTAGTTTGGTCTTTATCAGAACAAAAAAAAAAAGATGCTGCTGCAGAAACTATGCTTCTTCGTTGATTTCGGTTAGTGGAATTAAGGATGTTTGGGACCCTTTTGTCATAATCGTGCGGAAAAGGAGAAGAAAATCACGAAGTTAAAATCAACCGATGGTTTGTTTCTTTGTTTGTTCATTAATGAACATTTATTTTGAAAATTCGGTTCCAGTTTTTCCTGACGCGAATTTTCGGAGGTAGTAACTGTACTAGTCTGTTGCAGTAAAGAAAAAAAAAAGACAAATATTTGTGTTTACATAGGTTTTTTGTGGACTACACTTCAGGGCATGTGTTTCGTCATTCCAGCACTGCTAACTGAAGCATTTCCGCCACTCTTCAACTCTCGGAGAACTCGCAGCTGTAATCCGGGACCGGAAGTATATGTTAAATCCATGAAGACGGTCGTAAATCATTGCTTTTAGCGATACAGATAGAAAATGAGAGTTGCATCGGTAGAATGTTGTAGTTTCTCTGGTTATTCCCACTAAAATGACGCGGATTCGGATACTTGGCCATCGCAGCCGTCTTTTTCTGTAGCTTTTAATAGCCGCTTGCTCACAACTCATTTTCTCAACGATGGACCCTCTATAGTCGCTATTTCTGACTCGCTAATGAATAATCTAAAGGAATAATGAATACTCATCAAAATCCCTGTTTGGGGTGGGACTAGAATCAAGAGCCTTGAAGGGACGGAAGACTTGCAAGTCCTCTACTAGCGCGATCCCGAGTGGACTCTGGGAAGCTTTTTCTTTTGCTTTTGCTTTTTGCAAGGAAGGGCAGTTCATTCATGGCTCCAGGGAAAACAACTAGGAAAACTATCCGGTAAGTGCTTTGAATAGTCCACAATCGAGTACGGAAAAGGGAGCCACTGTGTGGGAACTCCTTATGAACGGAGACGGCTATTGTCAGGATTCCGGGGCCGAGCAGGGTGGGTAAGAAGCAATGCTGGATTTCAATACTAGGCAGTATTGTTGTTCAGAAAAAGCAAAGAAAATAGTAGGTTTAGGGTTAGCCTTAAGAAACACTGTACTCTTTTTCTGAGTTTCATATAACACTACATACTTCAAAAGGGAATGTCATGATAGGTATGTATAAGTTGTTACATGCTGCCTATTCATATAATTCAGTGTTTTTCAAACTTGGCAACTTTAAGTTGCCTTCTTTGATAAAGTGACTAAATTGGTGGATCAGGGAAGTGCTGTTGATATAGTTTACTTGGACTAAACCAAAGCATTTGAAAAAGTAGATCACAGCCTATTTCTTGGTAAGATAGAACAATGTGGGATAGACAGCATCACCACCAGATGAATTCGCAGTTGGTTGACTGCCCGCACTCAGCATGCAGTTCTCAATGGAACTGCATCTACATGGAGGGAAGTAAGCAGTGGGATACCTCAAAGTTCTGTCTTGGGCCAGTTCTCTTCAACATCTTCATAAATGATCTAGATGAGGGGATAGAAAGGGAACTCATCAAATTTGCAAATCAGCACTTTGGAACACAGACTCAAGATTCAGAAGGATCTTGAAAGACTTGAGCATTGGGTCCTATCCAACAAGATCCAGTTCCGTGGTGAGAAAAACCAGGTCCTGCACCTAGGCAGGAAAAACCAAATGTGCAGGTATAGAATAGGCAGTATATGGCTTAACTGTAGTAACTGTGAGAGGAATCTTAGTGTCCTGGTGGGCTATCACTTAAGTAGGAGCCAACAGTGTGCTGCAGCTGTCAAAAGAGCCAATGCAGTCCTAGGCTGCATCAACAGAAGGATAGCATCAAGATCATGAAAAGTAATAATACAGCTCTATACTGCATTAGTGAGGCCACACTTGGAATAATGTTGCCATGATACAAAAAAGACGTTAAGACTCTCAAAAAGAGTACAAAGAAGAGCAACAAAAATGATAAGGGGTCTAGAGGCAGGGGGTTGGACTAGGAGACCTCCAAGGTTCCTTCTAGCCCTATGATTCTAAGATGTGCAGACTTCAACTCCCAGAATTCCCCAATCAGCATGCTAGTTGGGGAATTCTGAAAATTGAATCTTAGAAAATTGAATCTTTCTAATACAGATTAGAAACATCGTCTCATGCCTGGACGATCAGCCTTCATTCATGAGCTGTTGGTCCAGAAAGATTATAGGAAAGGGTCAACCTGACCTGCAGAGAGGCAGGCTATTGCAGAAGCCAAGAGTTGTGACTGTTTCCAGTTTCCACTTCATATTCCAAAATTAGGTGAGGGAGGTGGAGAGATCCACAGAGTGCCCCCTTCTGTCCAGAATGAATTGCAAAAGGAGATTCTGCCTGGAGCAGAAAGTTTCAAACACAACAAGGGCCCAAGCCATTAAGACCTTGATAAGTAATAAACAACATCATGAAGTGGATTTGGAAGTCCACTGCGGAAATTGGTGTTATTTTTCTACAAGCAGTTGTTGTTGTTTTTGTTTTTCAGGCTGTAGAAAAAAATAACCAATCTTTTATAATCAACAGGCAAAACTCTAATGATAGAAAATTGTGTGTGAGTGGACTTTTCCACTGTTTTCCACTGAACCTCATCAAGTTCTCGTATTTTCAAAAACCTTACTTAAAACTGTGCATTCTGGGTCAACATGAAGGCATTTCATGTTACAACTTCCAAATCTTCTTCAAAGGCAACCCCATATAAAGCAAATTACAGCAAGCTAAGCAGCAAATAAGGAAGGCATGAGTACTCATAGCCAATATTTATAGTCCTCAACTTACAACCACAACTAAGCACACAATTTTCATTGCTAAGCAAGCAGTTAAGTGAGTTTTGCCCAAGATGGCCAAATGTTTGGTCTTTGTGGCAGCTGTTTGGTTTGCAGATAATGTTCTGTATAACGTACATCTGAAACAAAAGTGCAGCTATTCTACATATTCTGTGCCCAGTGTTGAAATAAACTTTAGACATTAGTCCCATTGGCCTCATAGTTGCCAAAATATCTGGGACCCTTCTATTGTTGTTCTAGTGAGACTTTTTTTCCCCAAATTTCAGTCAGCTTAATCATAAGCTGAGTAGAATGGAGGGCTTAGCACTGTGGCAGTGACATTTCCATGCTAGCAGTTCAGCTTTATAACTTTTCTTGTCTTTTTATCTTTCTCCTAGGCCCCAGCTGGATCGTCAATTTCTCCACCGATTCCTAAAGATCCAAACAGTTTTATTTCCTACCTTCACCTCTAAGAATGTGCTGATGTTTCTAACCTTACTTGTAGTTGCTTTGTTGAGTAAGCAAACAATTTTCTAAGACAAATCATTTTGTATGTTTCTTTTTGCCATAATGCAGGATTATTCTCTATTTTTATTGATATACCTTTGGAGCTTCTGCTTTTAAAAATATTTCTCTTATCTCTCCTAGCTCAACTGATCATTTACCAGGTGGGACTGATTCCCAGTCAATATTTCTCAGTTCTGGGAAGGAAAGATCTTCATGAGTTCAATAGGGTGACAGCAGTTGCTCTGATTCTCATTGTACTCAACTCTTTGGTAAGAGAATTTTTTTTTATTATAAGCGTAGGGGAAGATTGGGAAGTCTTATTTTAGATGTTAAAAAATGGTTTCAAGTGATGGGTGCTCTGTCAGTCTTTGAAATGTCTATATATTGCAGAAATGAGAAAATGGAATATTTATGCTTTTATATAATTAAATTCAATGACAAGTTAAAAAATTCAGTTTGGTATATATTAATATTTTTCATTGGAACATTACGTGGATCTTCTGTTTCTTTGACAGTTTACTACTTTTTATTATCGTTGCTATAGGAGTGGAGGGTCTGTTAATTTCATCTATAAAATAATAAAATTTAGTAAAAAAGCGAACAAACTAGAACAAACATAGGCTACAGAAAGCCAGATGACCACTAGATAGCAGTAGAGAAATGTATGTATCCTTACTGCCCAGATTTTTGCAGCTCAGATATGGTGGTCCTTTGTATCGTCCCTCTCATATAGGCTTAACTCTCCAAACTCTCCAAATGTTCATCCTAAATCTCAAACAGCATAACACAGTTGATTATTTCAATATGTTGATAGATGAAAGGTCACTACAAAATAAATCATTTTTCCATATTAATATCTACTTAATCTAGACCACTAGCGATAATGAAAATTGCTCTGCTGTACAAGCAACGTACATATTGCAAACCAGTTGCCTTGAGCATAACTTGGAACTCCTCCCATGACAGTCAGTCTCTCTTCTTGTGATCTGTCATATATTGCACGTATATTTTGTACTGTTGGATCACTTGAATGATGTGTGAAAGGTACATATCTGTGGTCAGAGGTAACATGAATTGTTAGTATAGAGTCTAGTGAGTAGGTGGCATGCAAAGTGGTATAAATATATATTTTTTAAAAACTCGCAGCCCTGCACTCTAATATGTTATATTGCAGTGGCCCACCTACCGAAAAGGGAAGAGAATGAGAGTAGTGTGCCTGAACAGGAGCAGACATAGATATGTACAAATCCAAACTGTTATCAGTTTCTCCTGGGTTGTGTTGTTTTCAGCTTTTTATAACTCCTTATATACATTAGCCTGAAAGTGAGACTATATGAAAAAGTTCCTTGGCTGCATTTGTTCTGTTATATGCAGCAGATTGAATCTGACATGTTGCAAGTTAACCAAAAAAACCAGTTGCCTCTCCATTAAGAAATTAAAAAATATTCCTTATGCTTCTTATCCTTTGTTAAGAAAAAAAAAGATGGATCAATAACAATGTTCAAATCGATTTTAGCTTACCTCAAAGTTCAAAGACTCTTTCCACAACTTTTGGAAAGAATTATAGGGTCCCAAAGTGTACATTTGTATTTTGCTTTTAAATTACTCAGAAAGGTTACTAAGGTTGGAGTTTCATAAGTCGTAACTGACTTCTAAAACAAGGGAAGTAAACTACACAGAGCATGGCTTTTAATATTTTTTCCTTCACTTTTACTAGCCAGGGCCTTACATGTGTATCTATGCATGCATCGAAAGCCATGAGATGGGTTTTATATGTTCTGCTGTCTGTCATATGATTTTTGGGTTGAGGAAGACCTGTGTCCATCTGCTTTTCTCCACAAATATCCAGTGGGGAGATTTTTCTGGATAGTTTTTCTCCACAACCCTGGCTGTATATGTCCAGTTTTTAAAACTTGATTTTTCTTTTACCAGTTTCTCCCAATATCCCAAATTTGCTCCTGTCTATTCATTTTTAGAAGTGTGCTAATCAACAGACAGCTCAAATCCCAACTCCTTTACATAATTTCTTTCCAACGGTCCATTGGATTGGAAATAACAAAAATAATCTTGACAGTCTGCTTCAAAAAATGTGGCTATTTGCTCACCAAACATCCGAAATGTTCCTTTTGAATGTTGTATCTCCCCATGTTTGATTTTCAGCGCTCTCTTTCTCTCTGTCTGTCTCTCTGTTAGCTGAAGAGTTTAGACCAGTTTATCTGCAATCTAATGTATGTCAGCTGGAGAAAGACTCTCACTGAATACCTCCATGGCTACTACTTTCAGGGCCAGGAGTATTATACTCTGAATGTTCTACACGAGGAAATTGATAATCCGTAAGTGGCTGATCATTTTCAGTGCGGTTCTATCTATTGTTGTAGCATGTTTGTACATCTAGGCTTTATTCCAGGTCGTCTCAGTGTTCATAGTGACAGGGAGTTTGTTTAATTTTAATTCACCCACTAGGGGTTGCTGTATACTAGTATTATAGTACATTTCAATCTGAAATGCACCAGTCAAATTGCTGTTTTGCTCAAATGAAAATTTTGTTAATGGGAGTCATATTGCACATTTTGGAAGTTTTGCCTTCAGACAGTAATTCCTTGATAAAATGTTTGAGCTATTATATAATAACTATATTAACACTGAGGTAATTGCATTCAGAATTAAAGCATTCTGCGTTAAACTAAGTTTCTGATTTAAAAAATATATGATATTAAATAAAACAAAAAGTTCTATGAACCTTAAATATTAACTCAGAGTAGCATATGTGTTAAAATTTTGTGGACTATAGTCCGGTTTACCAGCTAAAGGGAATATACCCTTGGAGAGAAATTGTGTGGGTATAGTCTCCAGCCTGATACCCAGAAGTACCAATACCAGCACACCCATTACCAGTAGGGTCTCTGCGGATCTTCCTTTTTCCTTTTAAAATTTTCTTTTTAACTCAAACAAAATGGGAAGTTGGAATACTGTAAAGCAGCGGTTCTCAACCTATGGGTCGTGACCCCATTTGGGGTCGATCGACCATTTCACGGGGGTCGCCAAGCAAGGCTGTCCGCCATTTTTTTCCCCTTTTCCGGCGGGTGCCTTACCTCCCTTGAGCTGGGCCAGCTGGTGGTCGGCCTGCTCTGTCTCTGCCACTTGCCAGCTACGCCTCGGCCGGCGCAGGGGGCGGAACCACGCATGCGCGGTGCTCCCGGGCAGGGAAAGTCCTCGACTTACAACCGGTTGGGTAGTCCTTGACTTACGACCGGTTTAGTCCTCGACTTACGACCGGTTTAGTCCTCAACCTATGACCGGTTTACTCCTCGACTTACGACCGGTTGGGGGTCGCAGCATTAAAAAGGTTGAGAACCACTGCTGTAAAGCAACACTTATTAGCATAATATTTTATTTCCAAGACCGCCTCTCCAATCCTTGATAAATACAGGCTGTTCTCAACTTACAATCACAGTTAATTGGAATTTTGGTCATAAGTTGTCTGCAGAATAGATTTGGTTTCTGGCATTTATTTATTTTCCATATTTATTAACTGTTCCCTCGCTTTGCTCTGGGTGGTGTAGAACAAAGAAAAACCTGAGAAAAAATAATATAACAACAACACAAAATACAAAAAACAACTGTACAGATAGACACCCATAACCAATCAACTAGAGCTGAAAGCCTGATGGAATAGGAAGTTCTTAATGATCTTCTAGAATGGAAGGAAGGAACTGCTTGAATCTCCAAGGAAGCTGATCCCACAGTATATACAGTCTTATCAGGAAAAGGGATTTTCAGCAGGTCCCTTCAGGATGAAAAGACCAGCTGAGTGGAGTCATTTTGGAAAGCAGTGCCACATGGAATGGTACAGGAACATGAGTGATCATTACCACTTTGAACTGGATGCAGAAACTAAGAGAATAATAATTAATGTTGATATATAACTTAAAAAGAGTAGCTGTGGATGTACATTTCTATTTTAATCTAAAGCATGTCTGTTCAGAAGTATGCTACACATACATTTGCGAACAAGACTTGTCCATAATATTGGAATTGGATAGCAAAGAGCAACTAAACATGTAGTTAGGTAATTTTGTGAATGACATCTAAGGCATCATTAATGGTAAGGTCGCAAAGGGGATACTACAACTATACCAGGGCTTTATTTGAAATAGCTAAACCAGTTTTATCAAATAAATCAAATTTCTCTTAATTAGGGGAATATTAGAAGAGAATATAGCTCAAGACTCATAAAGAAATAGTTTAAAACATTGTTTTTTGTTATAAAATAAGAATAGAAAATAGTTTATAATAGAAAAAAATGGGAAGTTGTTGAAAAGTTTTACGAGAATAACATAAGATAATCTTTTTAATTATACTTGTGTACTATCCATATAAATGTTCCGTTAGTTAATTGCTGTTTTAAAAAAACTGTGATATTTATAACTGCAATTATGTAAGAAGAGTTTGTTGTGAAAATCCATTACCAAATTATCATGCCAAATCTAATTTTGCTGTGGATGCATTTCTAAAACAGTACAAATGAAACGATGAATATCCAGATTTTTGTTTCACTTCCTAGAAATAATGCTGACTGCAATAAACTGGTTAGAATTTAGGACATATTTTTTCTACCTTCTTAAAACTTTTTATATATTTTTGTGTATTCAAAACCCTCTCCATTGTACATGAGTTGGAGCTTCATCAGTTCATTTTTGATATACGTTATCTGAGCAGTTGATCAGAAGTTAAAAGGATAAACACTAAAACAATAGAAATCAGGAAAAAAACTTATTTCCTTTATAACTGGCTTCTGCCAGGGAAGATTGCTTTCTGCCCCAAATCCTGCTCATAAAGCTATAAAAATAATTTATTGGAAGACTCTGCAATATCTAAGGAAAGAGAAAAGAGAATTTCCTAAACGGTATCATTTGCTGAAGTGGTACTCTTGAGATAGTTATGGCCCTCCGAGTCACTATTTCCAGCCATTCAAAGCCATGGTTTGTAGAATCAGCTTTAGTGGCTGGGTTTTCACAGCATAGTAAGCCATAAAACAAAGATTGCAAACTACGAAGTTGAATTCTTTTTTTTTTTTCTTTTTTTTTTTTAATTTTTATTGACAAAACAATTAAAACAAAAAGGGACATGACATGACGTTCCAGTATACATGATCCTAGTAATTCGTTCCTTATCATATTTAAAGTTCTAAATATACATCTCTCTACGTATTAACACATAATTTTATATACCACAAATTTAAACTTTAACTCAAAACCCGACCAGTTCTTCTTGACTCATACCAACAGT